GCTCGTAGAACAATTTAAAATGACTGTTTGAACGATATATATTAAAATTCATCAATGCAAACGTTGTGTTGTTGTTTTAGAAGGATAAATGTTTTTTTTTAAATAAATAACAATGATCTCATCAAAACTTTTTTTCGGATCGTCGTCTTAGTTGGTCTAGTTATTTAAGTGGCATATGGTTAATACTGTTTTATCCCAATCTTTAGCGTCTTTCCTTAAAATTTTGTCTCTGTCTGTTATTTCAAATAAACTACTTATCGCTAAAGCATTTTATTTATGAATTATATACGATACTACGATCAGAACTGTAGCTTATAAGTTTTTGGTCTGTCGGTTCCTTTTATTCAGGTTAATCTCTTGAACGGTTAGACTGATTAAGATGGGAATTACATTGTAATTCGCACGTTTGAAGTATGATAAGGAGTATGTTCGATTACTTACTTAACCGAAGGAGATTTTCAAATATTTTTTTAAAGTTACGCGTCCCGAAGTAGCTTCAATGTTATCAAGAGGGTATTTGACTAAGGAATTTTCAATATATCGACTAAAACCTAATAATGGTGATAATGAGTTTAATATATGAAAAAACCGCTGGCATACGAAAAACATGCAAAACAAAAGTATTTGTTAGCTCAGATCAAAAGTTACTGTCATGAAAAATATTATAACCGAAATAAATTTACTTTTCGGTAAGTATTGAGTATAGTTGAATGGCCTTTCAGATACAGAAGCAGCAGTTTAATCCTACAACAGCTGTCTAACTGCTCGTTAACATGCCCGCCACAAAATTATCATGAAGTTGTTGTTAAGCAAGTGTTAATATGTATAATATGTGTATATAAAATTAATGTTTCAATTCCGGTGATTATGTAGGTAGGATTTATTTAGTAATGATATGAAAGAAGACTATAATCAAAGAGATATGAAATAGTTACTTTGATTTGATTTTGATACGGATTGAGTTGAGGAATAAATTGTACTAAATATTAATTTGTACAGTTTCATCGAAATCTATTCAGTAGTTTTTGTGTGAAACAAGAACAAATATTCATACATTCTTACATTTTTTTATTTAGACCAATAGTATGTTGTAGAAATATTAGTGTTTGCGGTACACGTATTACATTAACACGCATGCAGTTTTGCACCAGTTAGTTTTTTAAAGCAATGCATTGAATGCACGCAGTTCATATAATATTTCAGATACGAAAAAAAAATACTAATGAATTTTGGTGTCTGAAAATACTTTCACAATGAGTCTAAATTTAGATTGATATTATTATGTATATATAATTTGTGTGTGTGTGTTGTTATATCAAGAGAACCCCATATATAAACTACTTTAACGCGTTCAAAAGAATGTTAACTCTGTCAGCTGTCCAATGTCTATACAACGTGGCGAGTTACTGAAAGATTGATTTATTAGCCGCTAGAATACTAGCCTTTCTGACTTACTGTTTAAAAAATATTGCCTCCGTTATTTAATGGTAATAAAATAAACATATTATCTATCAAAAATATTAAATATAATTGAAATAAATACAACAGCAATATTTTCGAAAATATATATGTTTTGTTGTATACATAAATAAAAGATAGTTGGTTTGAAGTGAAAATTATTTAATTTACTAATTTCATTATTTTGTAAAAATTAAATTTTAGATCGAATTTATTTTTAATAACAAAGATGTGATAAAATTGTGTCAATACTAACAGGATTATTAAACTTGTTGAAAGACTTTGTATAAAGTTATTAAAAAAATTGTCAGCTCTTGACTTTTGGAAAGATCGTTTAAAAGTATAAGGTGCTAGGTATTAATTTAATGTTTATTAGCGATGAATAAAGATTACAAAAGATTTCGATTTATTAAATATTAAATTTTTACGTTAAATATTATAATTAATTTTAACATATATTTTTTTATAATTAGATTGATTTTCCTGCCATTGAATGTTTGCGATGATAAATAAAATTTAAGTATGTAATGCAAAACTTTGTTATTATTTTTTTTCTTATATTATTCAGAAAAACAATCAACAGTATGAAAAGATTCATAATCGAATGAAAAATAATGGAGTAAGAGATTTTTTTGTCAATTTTACCTACTAACATCACTATTTTCTTTTTAACTCTTTCGTGGTTTTTAAAGATAATATTTTATGTTATATTATTTTAATATTAAGTGTAATTTCAAGAATTTTTGTAAGGAAAATAAAAAATAAATTAAAGAACCCGATAGCATAATACATGCAACATTATCGAAAGCTTTTCACTTTTAATAGAAAAATTAAAGTATAACTTGTGGATCCTGTTTACTTACGTAAACTTAGGATACTTCAAAATTCTTGCTCTCACGAGTATACCTTTTTTTAGTTTACTTTTCAAAAAATAATAAATGTCGTGATTAGTACCCGATAATGTCTGATATATTTAGATAATACGACAGAAAAACCAGTCTGTGGTGGCCACAGTCTGCATCAGGGTACTAGAACAATTTTTACGGTCTAAGAAACCTACATTTGCGTAAAATTATGAAAAATCATTTATATTTATCAAAAATTTGTTATGCTGGTACTGTCACGCTCAAACCATCTTTAACATCAAAAAAATACCGTCAGTTGGCTGTAGCCAAGCTATCAAACATAAGGAATAGAGAGTGGCTGTGTGAAAGAGCAATATTAGCACCGACCAATGAAATCGTGGGACAGACCAATGAAAGAACATGTTCAAGGCGATGTTGTCGAATATTTGTCAGTAGATATTGTCATGGACAGTGAACAGGTGACATCTTATCCTACAGAGTTTCTCAACTCTTTAGAGATGTCAGGAGTGCCGTCTCATAAGCTGAGACTGAAAGTTGGGGTTCCAGTTTTGTTAATGAGAAACCTCGAAGCGCCGAGACTATGCAACGGGACTCGATTGCAAATTACGCAGCTAGGACGCAATATTATAAGAGCAATTATAATAACAGGAATATCTAAAGATGAAGACGTTTTAATTCCCCGCATACCCATGATCCCTACAGATTCACCTTTTCAGTTTAAAAGAATCCAGTTCCTCCTCAAACCCGCCTTCACAATGACCATTAACAAAGCGCAAGGGCAAACACTTAAAGTAGCAGGTGTCCATTTAGAGAAAAACTGTTTTTCGCATGGTCAACTCTACGTGGCCTGCTCGCGAGTGTCGAGTCCAAACAATCTCCACATTTTAACAAATAATAAGCAAACAGCAAACGTTATGTACAAAAATGTTTTAAATTAGGTCATTTTAAAATATTTTTGTACACAACGTCACGCTGGCCCCGGGAAGTGTCTCTTGGACATAAGGGACCACTAAATTTTCCTGGGAACTTTCTGCCACTTAATTGAATACATACTCGTACCTTATACTTATTACCTACTGTAAATAGATATTTTTTTTTTAAACATATCTACTCTCTTTTAACCAAATGCTATGCCCAAATCTATACCGTTCATTTATTATAATCAAATAAATTTACTATATAGAATATAGTATATTATACGATAGTCTGAAATCTGAAAAAGAACATCAGCTACTTTTTACCAAAACTCCACGCGGGCGAAGCCGTGGGCGGAAACTAGTATGTATATAAAAGAATAAATTTAAAGAATATCCTAAACTTTATTGAGTTTGTATGAAAAAATTACTAGTTTCTATTATAACAAATAATCATGTGTAACTAAAAGGACATTCCAATATTGTCTGAGTAAATATCATTTGGATAGCACAGTTATTTTGTTGCTGGAAATTACAATGTATATAATATATGTAATTCTTTATCATTATTCATCATTTATCAAATTGTCTTAAACAAAAAAAATCTTTTTTTTTCTCAAAAGAGCATATTGGACTGTTTCACAAGTATTTAAATTCCTTATATAATGTTTCATTGGTCATTCTGAGGTAGTCAAATAAATTTAAATTCATCAACATTAATTAATAAGTACTAAAATATACTGTATCAAAATGTCTTGATGTCTTTCTTGATAGACTTTAATTTTAACTGAAGCTGAATATTTAAAGATATTTAGCTTATCAAAATTGGTAACTTTTCCTTTTTTCATAATGCACTCAATACATGTAATATGTACATACACTTATGTGAAAATAAACATATTCCACTAGTGATTGAGTAAATATAATTTGACTATAGTAATTTTGAAGTATAATATAATATATAACTATTATTACATTAATTCTAAGCTAGAATGCTTTCGAATATAAGATAAATATAATTGGATAAATAAAATTTGATATTCGATTCCATTGGGTTAATTCAAATAAATATATGTATATAGAAGATTTGTTTATATCTGTATATTAAACTTTGCACAAAAATTATGTATGTATTTTATTTAATTAAAGAAAACAACGCAGTTTTGTACATAGTATATTATAATGGTTTTCAAATTTAAACTGTAATTTTCAATAATTCATTCTATATGTGTGTAGGTTGCTTATAATTTGCTTTGATTAAAGTAAAATATTCTTACTAAGCAAAAGTCGTACTAAAAACAATGAAATTAAAAATCCCTTTTATTTTGAAGCAACACTTGGGCCGTAACTGTTCAGAAAGACAACCACTTAAAAATCTTATTTACATGACTAAACTGTTTCTCCAAGATGACGAAGACGTAGTTAGTATGTTAGTGTTCATTCTCGTCTATAAAGCAAAAGCTAAAATTATTGTACTGTTTTTTTTATTTCAACCTAACATAAATTTCTCATTGTGAAGGTTATAAAAAAATGGCGTCAGTACCAGTCATATAACTTTTTTATATATTTTATTAAAATCTTGAATAATCATATTTTTAATAAATTTTATCAATTAATATAGGGCAAAAAAATGGTATTCCTTCGTACAATATAAATTTCTACCAAAAAAATTAAGCAACACGCAGCATACATTACTATCAAATATAAAAAACAGGAACCCAGCAAGTCTATTCCTAATGCTCTGACATGAAGTGCAACTGTGCTATTTGAATTCTTTAATTGCCAACCTGATGAAAAGTCATCCATTATTTTTATCATTTGACCTGAATCGATACTTCGCAATATAACAGTTGATACGTACTTTGCAGCTGGCCAACGGGGGCGCAAATAAATATTTGCGGGTATATCTACAATTTGCTTCTCCAAAATTTGAACTGTTTTTTTATAAACTCTAGCTTGTTCCATGTCAATAGCAAGCAGATATTTCTCACCAGATGCAATAGCAAAAAACGTTGTTTCAAGCTCTGGTACAGTTATATCAACCAGTTTCTTTTCTACTGATGTATTTCTATAAAATTCCATAAACGTTGGATGTATGCGTGCCTCTTTAACAACATTTATAGCTTCATCAATTGTTTCTACCGGCGGCTCTAAGATAACGTGATGTAATCCTTCAACGAGTCTGCCCTCATATGAAATGCGGAAAACCATACAAAACCAAACCCATAAAATTAGCATTGTATTAATATACCAGTATTTTGAATTAACGTTATAAAACTGACCAAAAAATAAGGAGAATATTCCAAATGCTGTTCTTCGTGGTACCTTATAACCCCTTTGTCCAAAGATCTTCACAAATTTTATAGTCAAATAAATACATGTGGCTACTGCAATAACCATTGGAGTCAACCAATTGTAGAAAGGAAGGAGTACTTTAACCAATTTATAAATTTCTTCCTGTTTTGGTAAGCACAATATAATGCGAGTAGGTCGGTGAACATAAGTCACCTGTGCAGCAGGATATCTCCTGGTAGTTAATATTAATGCAGGAACTACCATATCAGCAACATTGTAGTATAGGTCACCAAACTTTCCAGTCGCCGTTCCGTTTATGTAGTAACCCAGGTCACCATGATCAGAAGCCGATACGATTTTCAAAGTTGCATTAAGACTTTCAATAACTAATTTAACAAAATCAGCATCTAAACCATTTAGATTTATCACTGTATCATTTTCTTTTGTAACTTTAACGTACGGCACTAATTCAAGTGCGGTGACTCTGATAGGACAGCCATAGAAATTTTTGAATTTGTTTTGTTTAAAGTAATTTCTTTCACTAGTCGTTATTTCTCTCGGTGTATAATCTCCACAAATACCACTCCCATAAGGAATAACCGTGGATACTGCTATTGTGTCATCAAAATTCAAACTTACTATTAAAATGTCCTCGACGTCTTTTTTTGACGCAATTTTAGTATATTCCTTGACGTCAGACCCAGGATTCTCATTTATGACTAAAATAACCAATATTGCTTCGAAAGTATAGTTATTTGAAATGGACAGAAAATTTTGAAATTCTTTTGGATTGTCCGCAAAGAGTACTGTTTGTTTCACTTTAAATAACTCAAGACATGACTCTCTACAATTTTTTACTCTTAACACTGTAACAGCACCAAGGTATTTGAGTAAAAATTCATTTACATGTTCGTGTTCATTATTCCACCAGGCGACATTAGTTGGGAGATGAGGTTGATAAATATCGTTGGCAATAGAGGCAGCTTTTTCTATGAGCTCAGATGACTTTGTGAATTGTGTTATCATAAATAAAAAGACGATTGTGGAAAACACTTCCATCTTACACGTCATGTTCCAGTATTGTGAGGCAAAATAATCTATAAATAAGCTTTTTATACATTTATAGAAAATTGAATAACATACTTAAAGGGGACAATTTCCTTTGTTTGTATGAATACTCATGGTGATAATAATTGTAATTATTCCTTATTTACTTCATATGAAATCCAAACACCATTAACAATAATGTAGTACAAAGGGGTTGCTTAAAGAAGTTTTTCTTTTAGAAATTATATTATCACTTCTGTTATATAATCGTAAGAATTAATAATAAAGGCATTCTAATTTCATTTAGTTATATGCTAAATTTAACTTTTTCTTAATTACCTAATCCCATTCATATCAGTACAAATCAGTGAATACATAGTTATGTCACTGATTACTTATGGTTGTTGAAGAGTAAGTTCTTTCCGCCATTTAATATAATGTATATTAATAACATAATGTATATTTTTTAAAAAGTATATTAATAACATCGGTATTATAAAAAGTTAAAACTATGTACTTTATCCCTTTAACGGTCATAAGGAGTGGACAGTGGAAAAACAAAATTGATGATGGTTAAGGGTATATAATAGAAGTAAAAACATATATATATATATATATATTTGTCAAACCTTCATTGTCAAACTGTCTATTGACAATCATAAAATTTGCCTGAATAAAAAAATACGACCAATGGACGAAATATCGGTTTAAAAGAAAATAAAATCATGGTGGTGAAAATATCACCTCTAACTTATAAAGGGTTATTTTACTATATTCATATATATTGTATGTCATTCATTTTTTTAAATTATTTCTTAATGACCACTTATTCGCTGAGTATATTTATATGTACTTACAGTTATGTTGAAACCAATGTCATTATATAAATTTGATTTATTTAAAAAATCAAATGCAGAATATTTATCATAATTTTAATCACATAAAATAAATTCATAAACCATTTTAAATTCCCGTTGTTGTCTTTAAACTTAAATTAAGTACATCTTATGAAATTGTTCAATGAACGATTTACCCTATTGTTTCCCCAAAAACACCTAGTCAACCCATAAGTCCTGTTACAAATAGAAATATATTTTTTGAAATGAAGTAAGGAAATATTATTAAATTGAATACCTACATTTTTATTAAATTCTGAGGAAAAAATATATTTTATTCGACATAGCCAACTTTGGCTTTAATCAAGGTCTTTAATTTGTTTGGCCATCAATCAATAGATTTACGAGCTGTTTCTGCTTGGTCCAAAGATTTTTGGTCTTCTAAAGGAGTCCATGTCCTAATAAAACTGACCATAATTTGAGATCCAAAAGGTTGAGGACTTAGTAAAATGAGGGCCAGCCAAGGCTCTTATAAAGTACGGAACGTTAATTCCAAGCCAGGCTCGAATAGTTCCTAATAAAATTTCTATTCGGTAAAGATGATGTATCTGTCGATTTCACCTGAATGTCGGGACAGAAGGCATTCTGATCCATCCATTCTCTTTAATTGTAAAATTTCATTAAGGGTATGTCCTGGATATCAACGACAAGCATAATGTAAGATAAAGTCTTGTTTTATAATCAGCGACAGGTTTCAATGAGTTTTTGCTCTAACAGCATTAAAGGGCTCTGTAGTTTCAACATCAAGCGGCCTACAGGATCCCTTCTGGTCTTCGACAGACCACATTGTTGTATTTGGTAATAGTACTATATCCATATGGCTTATACCTAACATACTGACTTTGTGCATGACGATCACTGCAATATTATTTTCTTTTAAGCCCCATTAAATATTGTAATTTGATTATAAATATAAAAAGATATGTAAAAAGACGAAAAATTAAAGAAATTTTAAAATAATTCTGGCCTTCCAAATTCGAAATATATAAAAAGTAGAAAAGGAAAAAAAAATATGTGACTGTATTTACGGCTAAACCGTTTATATGCCGATAGGTAGACTGCCGATAACTAGACACAATCGTTGAAATTCCGTTGAGGGTGAAACAAAAGCATACAAATATTTATTCGTGTATATTGTATTATGTTTCAAAATGTTATGTAGGTACAGTAGGACCTAAATTATCCGGACTAATTGTTGTCGGTAGGCATCCGGATAATTGAAAGTCCGGATAATCCAATGTATGAAGAAAAACGGGCTTTTTGCATATGTACATATGTAGTCGGTACCATACATATGTAATGTTAGGTGTTTATTTAAAACAACAAATACTTATGAGCGAAAATCAACGTTTATTAAGAAATTGTACATAATCTATACTAATATTATAAAGCTGAAGAGTTTGTTTGTTTATTTGTTTGAAAGCGTTAATCTCCGAATATTCCATAACATTATTATTAAACAAATATCGAAGAAGCATGCTTAAAGTCAGTGGTGGCCTAATGGTTAAAAGGCCCGCCTATCGTGCCCGAGGGCGCGGGTTCGATCCTGGGAAGTACCAATGTGATTTTTTCGAGTCATATTTACTTTCTAAGAGTATTTAGACACCACTGACAAACGGTGAAGGAAAACATCGTGAGAAAACCTGGACTTTTAATTTCACAATGATAAGTTTGAAATCACCAACCCATCTTGAGCAAGCGTGGTGATTAAGGCTCAAACCATCTCCATTTGAGAAGAGGCCTTTGCTAAGCAGTGGGCTCTGATAGGCCGACGACGAATGCTTAAATAAATACTATTTAAGCATATAATTACTAGGCTTACTTAAGCTTTCAATTTACTTAATGAAGAAATGGTATAGGTATATTACGACGTTTGTTATAATAATTATAATAGATTTCGACTACAAGGATAATAGAACATACAATGTACATTAATATTAAACCTATAAAACAGAAACCCAGTATGTTCAGACCTAGTGGCTTATATGAAAGTTCATCAGGTCTTTTTAAACTTCGAACAGCGAAACTGATGCCAGAGTCTCTTAGTATTTTATTTATGTGACCAGTTTCTACACTTCTTAGTATAATATTTGATATGTATTTCGACACTGGCCACCTAGGACGCATAAAAATAGAGGCTGGCGCATATATAGCTCGGTGCTTTAAAATTTGAACCTTTTTTTTATAAAAATTCACAACACTGATTTCAGTAGCAAGCAAAATTTTCTCTCCAGAGGCAATGGCAAACAAAATATTTTTAATATCTGTGGCCTTTATAATATCAGCATTTTCTTCTAGCGGACTATTTCTCAAATACTCCATTATGGGTCGATGTATATAAATTTCATTTACAACATCTTTTGCATCCTTAATTGTTTTAGCTTTTGGCTCTAATATAACATGATGCAGTCCTTTAATGAGAATTCCCGAATAAAATATACGATAGACAAAACTAAACCAAATCCAGAGTATAAACAAAGTATTTATAAGCCAAAATCGTGATTTAACATTAGAATATTGACCTATAAATATGGAGAAAATAGCAAATTGTGTTCTCTGTGGCAATACATAATCCCTTTGTCCTAATCTCTTTATAAATCTCAAAGTCGAATAAATTATTATTGCTGCAGCAATTACTATAGAAGTGGACCAGCTGCAAAATGGAAGGAAAACTCTTGCAAATTTGTAAATTTGAGAACGGTTTCGTAAGCATATAACAACCCGAGATGGTCGGTAAATGGGAGAAAATAGTGCAGGATATCGTTTAATATTCATTATGAGTGGAGGAGGAACCATATCAGTACGATCATAAAGGAGATCACGAAAAAAACCTTGTGGCTCTCCATCAACATATTCCCCAGCTTCGCCATCATCTGATACTATTGTCATAGTAGCATTAAGAGTTGTGATGATTAAATTCGCAAAATTACCATCAATACCAGCAACAGTTATCACTTGGTTATTTTCTTTTATCAGTTGAACATACGGCAGGAACTCAAAGATACTAACTCTTACAGGACAGCCGTGGAAATTATTATATTTGTTCTCTTTAAATATAATTGACTGTGGTATAGTCACTTCTCTTGGTGTGTAATCCCCACAGACACTACTTCCGTAAGGATTTATAGAAGATACCAGTACTGTACCATCGAATTTCAAGCTAACAATTGCAATGTCCTGAACGCTTCTCTGCAATGCTATTTTACTATAATCAATTAAGTCAACTGCAGAACTTTTATCCACGATTACTAAAATTACCAGTATCGCTTCCAACGTTATGTTACTTGCTAGTGAAAAAAAGTCATCGAATTCTGGTGGATTACTCGCGAAGACGACTGCTTGTTGGAATTTAAATGTTTTTCTATGCCCTTCATGAGGTTGTTGTAATTTTATTGTTGCAACTGCTCCAAGGTATTTAAGTAAAAATTTATTAGCATGTTCGTGATCATTATTCCACCAGGCAACTATAGTTAAGAGATCAGGTTCATAAACCTCATTGGCAATAGAGACAGCTTTATCAACGAGTTCAGAGGTTGTCGTCAAAACGATAATTAGCTTAATATTTATTAGAATGAGTACTGGTTTCATTGTTTTAATCAAAATGTTTTGACTCCTTTGTGTTCAAGATGCAAGTAATAATTCTTCTGTGATTTTGTTTCAATTGCCACCATAGTAAGTATGTGGTTACAAAACAAGCACTACAAACCTTCAAAAACTGACATAAATCAGAAGGCTATTATTATTAAACTTAATTAGATATGATGATATCGGTTTTGTTTATCGGAAATAAAATCACATAATAATGTACTTGGATCTTAAATAATACGGTGTAATTGTAAGAATGTATTTTTATCAATAGTTTTGTTATTTCGTTCCTTATATTTAATGAATGTTTGAAAAAAGTATATACATAAATGTTTGATTCACCGATTTTAAAATTTTTATTGCTTCATAACTCGATGCTTTAAGGAATAAAGAAGGATTTTATATTAATATATTTTAATTATCTTGTATCGATTACAATATTCAAAGTCCTGAATTAAAGACCTATTTATAAAATGTTAGAAACACTTACCAAACTGTTTAAACCACTATGAATTATATACAGATATTTAAAATAAGACATAACTCATAAGTATGTAAAACTGTGGGTTACTTACAGTAAAATGTTACTTCAAAAAGCCCTCACACATGAAGTGTTAAAATTAGGTTAAAAAAATATAATAAATGGATTTTAAGATAAAGATATTTTTTTTTATGTATTCTTGAGATTCTTTCTTAATGGAAATTCATCAAGATCTGGAAGAGTTATGTCATACTCATAAAACCGTTTTTTTCAAAACTCACGCTCTTACTGAGCCAAATGTCAATGCTGAAAAGGTTTCAAGATTAAGTGTATTTAACCTTTATTGTTCTTGATCCAGCTCTCTAGGATTGATTCATAACACTAAAACCTGGATCACAAACCAGGTGCTCTCTCAGGGTACCACGAGTAACTCTACAGTGATCTACGTTAGCGTGACAAAAAAATCAGATTCATTACTCATAAGCAACAATTTGACGTTTTTTTTATTTTTCATAGTGTAAAACTGAAATATTGACATCACTTTAATTATTATCACCAATGCAGGCGGTATATATTTTAAGCTCTGCAACTTTTGCTTGTATTTTTTTAAAATTAAATATTTGAGAAACCAACACACATTCACATATTTACAACTTTGCCTCACATTTTTTCAATTTTGAAATAACTGAGACATGAGAACAAAGACATGTAGAGAGTGACTAGTGGAAGCAGCATTTTTTTGGAAGTGTTGTTCCTATAAGAAAAGACAGTATGGGATGTATTTTTTTTTTTTTTTTTTTTTTTTTTTTATTGTTATCGCGGTGAAAGGTTTTATACCTACCCCTCCGTCTAGGGGAGACAGAGGCGGTTATGTGGGATTCACGGCCGGAAGGGCCCATGTTACCCACTAAAACACCAGCGGTCACTCTCCGTTGCCGCCAAGTGGATCGCCACGGGAAACGCCGAAGCATGCATCCGCGACGATCCGGCGGCGGGCCGCGAACGGCCACCTCCCCCCCCGAGGGCTCACTCCAAGTGACCAGGAGTGTCCCCCCGCCTGGCGGGCTTGCTTAATCGCGAGAGGGTTAACCCCTTACCCCTCCCACCCAAGCCCACGCGGCCAGTCTCCAACCACCCACCGACGAGCGCAAGCGCCCGACGGCAGACAGAGAGGAAACCGACCGACCACAAGCGAACTCAGGCCTCCGGAGAGACCCGAGTATCCCCTCCCCCCCAAGACAGCCACGGACGGCCTCCTGCCAGATCCGTGACCGTCTTACTCCCAGGGCTGTACCCCCAGCCCTCCCCCCCGTGACTGATTGCACCGGAATACACCAGTGGGCGATGGGGTCGTCACGTCCCGACGCCGGAATGGGATGTATTACCATAATCCACTATGACCAGAGCCAATAATGCCATTTAAATAAACATTTAAATGAAAACTCCTGTGTATAAAATTTCATTTTTATTACACGAGGAGCGGTTTATAGATTAGTGACCTAAGGAATATTGTAAGTGAGATTTTTCTTTACTTACCAAAACATCCCTCAAAATAATATAAAGAGAGAGATAAATACTTTTTTAGAAGATTATATAAGACAGGACGAAAAAGCGACTTTCTAGTTACTACTTACTCCTCAAAACATGAAATTCAAATTTTAATTGAATAATTAGACAACTAAATAAAATCATGGCATAGATAGCTTAAAAATATTTTATATTTAAATTTATTAAATCATACCTAATTAGTTTCTTAATTCAAACAATAGAATTTAAGGCAAACTAAAATTTATAGTTTTGTGTGCATCAAATAAATTTAAACTTTAACTTCAATGACAATCTACAATTTTATATATAGTTTTTCTAGAAACTTATAAACTTTTGGCCTTTTATTAATAGATTAAAACATTGTTTTGGGTTACAAAACAAAATATTTCTTTCAAAATAAATTAAATTGAATTGATACTAATAAGAACATGTGAAATATGAGTGATTATGAATGTATAACGTTTTTATATTTTGGGATTCTAAAACTAAGTTTGCATCACTTACCTTGCATTGTATAAAATTATCCAATTTATAAGTTTGTATTAAACTGAACTCACATGAACAAAGAATAATTTTATAAAGTAAATCGGTCCTACAAATTACTATTAATAATATTTAACAGTTTAGGTCTTTTGAAGGAAGTTAAAAGTTTAAGCACAAAAAAAGTTTATATTATTAAAAAATAATAGAAATATGTTTGTGGCATACGATACTATTATTATCAAATATGTATTAGTTTTCTATAGAAAGCAGCCATTAATTTTATATATATTAAGATTTTGCCTCCTGGAAAAGATATTAAAAAACTAAAAAGAAATTTCATTATATTAAATACATTTTAATAAACATACATAGGTGGAAATTAGAAAATGCATTGTGATACATAATTCAAACATTGTTATAAAAAATTGCATTAACAAATAAAATTAACAAACACATGTCAAGTATTAAATTTTTAAAACAAAATTAACTTAACCTATCTTAATGTAAGGTTTTTTCTTCTATATTTAAGTTGAATCATCATAACAGTATTATTTGTTCGTAAAAATATAATGTTTAATGGAGTAACGAAACAAGAAATAATTAATTACTTAAAATACCCGTAAATATAAATGGAATAAGATATTAGAAAATGTTAAAGATATTTGTAGTAATTTTGACTCTCAAAGTATCAATTACTGTACTTTTAATAATATCATGTATTTAAATTTACAAACAACCAAAACAACATAAGAATATAACAAAATAATATATAAAGTACAATATATAAAATAATTTTGAATTTCACAAGCAGTACAAACATCAATTTAATAGAGTGAAGGCACATATGCAGAACAATATATACTTTGAGTACATACTCTTTATATTATAAACAATTCAAATCGAGTTATACAAAATAGATTCAAGTCAGTTTAAGACATTCATACAAAATACATTTTAATTCAATAAATACATCAAAAACCTTACTCGATAAAAAAATTCTTGTAAAATAGCCTGGCAATAGATGGGTGGAAGCGATTACTCCGTACTATTTTGCTAGGCGATAAAAATATATTCTCATATGTATATTTATTTTCGTTTAGATTTCATTTCTTTGGGTTATTTTTAAGATACGAGTATATGGTGGGTGTCGCCTAGCGTTATTATAAGCGCCATCTATCCGCCGCGTTGTGTCAACACTGCATCAACTAGAAGTATTGCACCGTTGATAATTGAGAGTGAAGCCTTTGCTAGATTTTTGTCTCTGAAGTCACTCTTAAACGAATTCTGGTATCTGGAATTATATTAAATTATTAAGGTCGTTAACCTCGAGTTATTAAAATACTGCCATAATATACAAATATGTTTAGAACATTATTAATTTAGAAATTCATTAACCCAAAAAAATATTAAAAGTGATTAAGTAATTTAGATGAATTTAAACCCATATAAGAATGTCCTAATAGAAAGAATAGAATGTAAAGAATATTAAATACTATGTAGTTTTAGAATAATGTAATGTATATATTTTATAACTATCCTCAATTGTTACTTACCTGTCAATAAGCACAGCACCACTTGCAACGAAGAGTGCAACTCCCACCAACGAATAGAAGATGTCTATACGTTTGTGTGATGGAGTCTGCATCACATACCCTGTAACGATAGAGATTTTAAATTAATAATATTTCTAGAACATTAGTTATAAGGTTGACATGTATTACTAATATTTAAATATGGACTATGTCTGAGATAAAAATAAACTATTATTATTATTATTAATCATAATTTATCAACATTAATTGAGACTTGTGACAAGTGATTGTAATAAAACATTGTATTTGGATTAAGACTTAACATCAACATACAGATGAAAAATTTCTTAATGTGATTACACGCACTTACTCAGGAATTATTGCTTAAATTTAAAAATATCTTCAGTCGTACTCAATTTAAAAAACATAAAGGAGATGAACTTGAAAATATGGTGTAATTTAACTGTTTAGACATCTTAATAAACTTTGCGTGTCTTCTCTTGGAAATGAATAATAGTATATAAAGAATGTTTCCTCACCAGCCGCGGCTCCCGCGAATATAATGAGGTATCCTATGAAGGTTCCCGTCACGAGCATGCCCGTGTCTGGTTCACCGTTGTAACTGTGGTAATGAAGCGCCACACACGCACATGTTAGAGCCTACAAAAATATATATAAACATTTTATATGGGTATAAAATTCTCGTGTCACAATGTTCGTTCCCGTAATCCTCGGAAACGGTTTGACCGATTCTCATGAAATTTTGCGAGCATACTGAGTAGGTCTGATAATCGGCCAACATCTATTTTTCATAACCCTAAGTGATAGGGGTTGTTCACCCCATATTTTTTCTTTAATTTGGACGAAAGGTTTTCATTTTATTTTTTATCATGTGGCATAAGAAAATACGAATAAGCCTAAATTTTTACCTTTATATCACCAACCCCTACTTTTGATATGGCAAAACAGCGTAACAAAAAGTATTATATATAAATGAATTGGAGTAAAAATACCTCTAATCATTTAACATAACCAAGATTATGTACGTTACAATATTATCGGAGATTAAATTAGTTGGTTTGCGGTAGTGCATTTCGAACGATAACTTAAAAATTTCTGATATAAAAACCACATAAATTTTATTAAAAAAGCCTATATAGAGAATGATTTTACGAGTCACTATAGCAAGTATTTTCTGCTAGTGTTAGTTATTGTTAGTGGCTAGTAGGAGATTGAATTGTCCACTTAATCTCGTACGACAAGGATTTTGATTCATAAATATTCTTCAACAATGACTTAGTGATGACTGACGTCCTAATGGTTGGCCACCACTTGGCCTAAATTTAGACACCACTGACAGACGGTTAAGGAAAACATCGTGAGGAAACCTGGACTTATACTTTCACACTTATAAGTTTGAAATCACCAAACCGTCTTGAGCAAGCGTGGTGGTTAATGCTCGAGCCTTCTCCAAGTGAGAAGAGGCCTTTGCTCAACAGTGGGCTCTGATAGGCTGATGATGAATGACTTAGTACTAAATGAAATCTATAAATATTTATGATTAATACTCTTGCTCCAAGCTTGATAGTATTTGATTAGGTTATTGTTTACTTGTAAATTCAATGACATAATTCCTCCACATACATACTGATGATGTCATTAATAAAGTTTACAAAGTAAGTAAGGTGATGTCATAACTCTTTTTATATGCAGGTCGCACACGCGAGGTCGTAAACGTAAGACCTTGTTATAATGTTTTACGCGTACAGATTATAATCGTCCTTTCGTTAATCGAATTAGGTTGATAATTGGGTAATATGTTTGAAACCAATTCTTCTTACAGAAAAACTTAATATTTTTTTTCATCTCATATACGCAAGATTAAAAAAATTAACTGCAAGAGCTAACAATGCCAATAATAAAGTTTTAATGCGAGAGGAAATTTTTATCTTTACAGCGATATTAACTTAGTCATAAAATGTAATACATTACTCATCTATGAACGATATAAGAAAAATATTATTGAATACTAGTTTTGACTCTTGATTTTACTCACTAACCCGTTGATTTTTGAAAAGTAAGTAGCTTAACCGATTATGTTCCTATAAAATTATATCCAAATAAGTTCGATAATCGGGTTTGTTCTGGACACGATAAAACATCCTTTAAATATTAATCGGAAATAAATTTAAATGAATAATCACACGGGAAAAATTATTTTATAATGATGCAATTAAAACATATCTACGCTAAAACACTTCATTAGGACGCAGGTTACAAATAACGATAAGAGGTAGTGTTAAATGTGGTTAATTAAAATGTATTCATTACAAAAGTTTGAACAATATGCCCACACGATTCCACATATTTTCCAACTTTCGATAGTACTTAGATTTACATACTTGTTTAATGAGAAGTAAGACTTTCGAGAGTGTTCATTTAAATGAAACTAATATTTTTAGATTACTAGGCGTTATTTTTTCAAAAAATTATGTACGATTATAGGTATTGCAAGACAACATAATTGTAGCATAAAATAATTGAATTAATTATAATACTCTTAACATACTCTTCAAAAAAAAATACATATATGTAAATAATATTGATTTAATGAAAGTAAACAAATATTTTGATATTTCATTAAATTTTGTAGTCGTTATTTTTAAATTTTTATTCTGAACGCATTATTACCCATAAACGGGCTGTTTGCTAAAGAATATCTTTTGTTCATATCTACTGAAGAAAGTATCAAAGCCTGTTCCGCGGTGACTGGGTATGGTAAGGACCTGTTTCAACGTCAGGTCATAAAAAATTTAAAATTCCCAACAGTTTTTCAGTAAAATAAATGCTGGCCACGTAGAAATTTTAAATCATAGATGTTTCATAAAAGAATCAGTTGACATTTTAATTAAAAACTTAAAAGTAAAATTCTTTAATATTGACAGTGAACTTATTTATTAAAGACTCTTATAAAAAATCTTGTATAATTGCAATTACATTATAAAAAACAAACAATTAATCGTTTCTTATAAATACCAACATAATCGATTTGTTTATTCTAAGAATACAATCTAGTTATCAAGATGCTTACGGCTTACCCTAAGTAGTCACACTCCATACAGGGCGTTAACAGTTTCTCTTCATCAAACTACACATATTATAGTATTAAAGTAGGTTATAGAATGAAAAACGTGAAACCATTCGTATGTATTGAGACGTTATAAGCTTATACTAAGCATGCTGATATCTTACTATACAAACAAATATAAATATCGGAACTGATTAAGAAATGTCGACATCGATAAAGACCCCGCTTTATACATATTCCACATAAATTGGTCAGCGGCAATATTAGTACTTAATCCTTAAAAAGCGTTACACCACATGACTTACATTCTGTAATTGGGCAACCAACAAACTCATGAACAATCGATATACCCCTTTCACCATAACTATGTATCAATATCATAGGTCTGAATTTTTTAAATACGTCATTTTAATAAAAAATAATAACAAAATTGAACGAATAATTCGTCAAAATATTGTTAAGTATATCAATAGCTATTTAGTTATTATTGCATAGATTTTTACAACTGATACAGAATCAAGAATTCATTTCTCTTTCAATAAATACGTAAAATAAATCATCTCAAGGCCAAACAATCTTGATAACCTTTAAAAATTCGAAGAAAAACATTGACAATACGAAGAACAAGATGACTCATTCAAGTTTTTATTATTATTTCTATATAAAGGATAACAATTCATACTAGAAAAATGTTCATGAAAAGAGTATTATTAGAATATATTTTAGTGTTTCTTTAAAGGTCTCATAGTAAACAAATAGCGGCGCGCCCTATTGCAACATTTGATATTTTTAAATCGTTTGAGCTACATTTTTATCCATACATATATTATTTTTTACTAGAATTAAGACATTACATAGAAATTTAATTATTCACTTACCAACTCCAGGAATTTAACAATGGATAGTCTGCTTACAGCCATTTTGGGATAACTATGTCACAATCTTTTTTAAGGCGACGTAAGGACCAGACGAAGGTGTAGTCTCAACTGCCATACGATACTCCACGGGCGAATGAATGACGAATCATGACATCATACTCGTAGCTAGCGGGGCCACATTGTTATTTCATTTTACTAAAATATAAAATATGTTTGATTGCAGTACCCACATGATATCAAGCTGGAAAATAAATATACATACTGATAAAGCTTTAATTAATTTTGTTATACATTTATTACAGATATATTTTTAAGTCATTAAAATATTCCAAATTTATTTTAAGCATTTTTTATTTAGACTCATATGTTATAATTTATCGATTGACGGATAAAAGTACATTTGCAAGTACAAAATTTGTCATTTATGTCTTTTTTACCATTTTTCTAAACAAAAAGGCCGTCTGCTTTATTACTTGTTGGTAAAAAAACCTAATTTAAAATTTCATTGAAATCAATACCTAATTCAATTAAAATTATTGTTTATATTACCCTTTTTCATATATGTTTCTGGTGTGCATATTGATTTATTTCCAATATGTTCTTCTTAACAGAAAAATCATTAACCTGAAACATGCAATGTAAAATGCGTTTGAATTTTTAACATTTTTAAAGAGTTGTAAAACCAATTATGTGTTATGGCGTCATCATTCATCGTAATCAAACGAGTTATAACTTATAGAGTATAAAGAAAATATATTATTTTTATTTAGTTAGATCAGTTTGTAAATTAAAAATATATTTTTATTAAATTGTTAAAAGTCTGAATTATAAAGATTAACGGAGTTGAATTTAAAAAAATATAATTATGTAAAACTAACTTTTTGACGTCACTTCACTAGAGATGAAAGGCAAATTTGTATTTCTAAAGTATGACCTATCACCTAAGGTTACTTGAAAGTTCGTTAGTTGAAAAAATGAGAGTAATAACTCTTTTTTCTTTTTCTTCTTTTTTTTTTTAAGAAATATATTGCAAAGAAAATTTAATTCACTAAATTTGTTAGTATAACATATAATAATGTTACAAAAAGGGTATGTATCAGTAATGGGTTTAAAGCCTACAGTAACCTTTAAAAATAATCAAGGTAGTAGTTCCCACCCACCTTGTTCGTACTGATATCACCATTGAAGACTACCGAGGTTAATTTCAATCAAGTAGATTGGACAGAAATGTAGTTTATGTAGAAAATTATATGCATTTTTTTATAAAGGAACTGTAAAATTGTAATTATTGAAAATTTTAATTTAATTACTTAATATTCTTAAAAAAAATCAAATTTAACTATAATATATGCTAAATATTTGTCTCATAAATATAATTAATGTATTTTGTATTCATTTGTTCCTAAATATATATTTTGTCATAAAAAAAAAATGTCATATTTTGTACTAGTTTGGTTCTAAATTAATCCTAGAGAGGCAAAGTCGTAGAATAAAATAGTAAATGACGATTTACTTGCAAGTTCTAGAAGCAGCTCTATTAAACGGTCTAATTGATTCACGCAATATCTATTTCCTTCGCAATTCACACAAGGAGAACATTTACGATGAGTGTTAATGACAGCTGTAACATCCTCATACGATAGCCTCGAGTTATATTGATGCAATAATCAAAGGAGTTTATTGGAAAATAGAAAGTCTAATGCATACGCTGAAGTACATTGTTTCATTGTTATTTAATATTGATTCGAAAAAAAAGAGAAATAAAGTAATTCCTTATAAATGGCTACGAAGATAACAGCGTTATATTCTGTACAGGAAGATATGAATTTATTTTATAAACGTATGAGTCGCATATGAGATAAATAGCAGTAAGTTATACTGGTGGGAAGTAATAAACCTATTTTCAGGCCATGAGGAATCGTTGACAAATTTCTATATTTACATATATTAAACTATTATAGCTATATTTTTTTTATGTAAAGGTCACAGCCAATCTGTGTGCCAATATGATATTGTTATTGATTTTATTCGAAAAGGTATAAATAATTTGTCGTAATAATATTTACTCCATCTATTGTTGATTTGTGGAACTATTAATCTAGATTTATCTACGTTACGGTACTATGTTGCTAGATGGTTGTTCTCTTGATGGATAGATGTCGCTGTTGAGAAAAGTTTTGAATCGCTGATACATGTAACGCAAGCACATTTATCCATTTTAAAACGTTAATTTTAATACTCCAAAGATCCAAAAGTGAACATCATATCATATAAGTTTTTATGTACATATATTTTTCTTTCGTTGCCCTTATCAGAAAGTACAACAACGCAAAATAATACTCTTATTACTATCGAACACATTTTTATTAATATAATCAAGGACTGCAACGCTTAGTAGACTTGGAGCGGACACTCCCATCGTCTTTATGAGCGGAACAGAGCGCGAGTAACGAATCGAGGGTAAGTAAGGAAGCGGCGGCTAGCGCGCAAACAGCTGTGGCGTGCGCGTGGCTGCGTCTCATACAGTGAGGAACGTCCCTCCAGCCCTGCAGTGTGAGAGCACCACAGGCACCGAACAGAACAGCCCCGACCCCTGACCACCACGCGTCGACGTAAGCATCGGCCGCCGCTGACACTGCTTCCCCTTAACAAATAATTACAACCAAATCATAAACGAGGACACTTGAAAATATGTCATAAAATCAATGTTCATTTTATTACATTAAATTTGTTACTTATTTTATTTGAAACTTTAAACAGTATAAATTGTATACTAGAATTTATACCTTATAATAAAAAAGAGTGGTAAGAAATAGAAAAATTATGACGACAGCTAACAGATTTTTTTTTCAATAAAGATGCTAAGATCATTTCATATAACTTAATAATGTAAAGTCGCATTTATACTTGATTAAATACCAAAAAAATATATATATTGAATTCATATCAGATACCATCACACGCTAGCTTCATCATCAAACTGTTCGCTGTCCAAATACGCCAGGCTCAAATCAAACAGCAGCACGAATGCGTTCAACACAGATATTGCTCCCATTAACATGGCTGCTGTAGGATCTCCAGTCTTGGGATGAGTTACAGTTCTCGTCCTTGAAGATAATACAAGACCACCGCTCACAGAGAACAATCCGACACCCAGCATACCGAAATACATGTCCTGAACTAGATCTAACGGCGCGAAAATCATTTCTCCTAAAACATCGATTGAGATTAAATTAAGATGTCAAAAATTAGGAAAACCATCTATTTGAAGTATAAATGCGACTTATAGCTCCAAAATATTATAAATAATTCAACTTTAATATGATTGCTCTGAATTCCGATACGAAATATCCTTGGTACGTATTTAAGTCTTAATATCAAGGTATGTAAATAGCGTAGCTTCGTCCTAACTAAGCTTGTAATCACATCCGTGAATATTGAATTCTGAAGCTTAGTTTCAAGCCCGGTTATGAGTATAATGGGTTTTCTTGTAAGATCTACGAGCTGTTAGTATTTGCATCAGACATTAACAATCTCTATATTAATTTATGTTTGATTTTATGACGTAAAAGATATATCCTCTATTGACGGAAATAATAAATTATGGTGTTTTTTGAAATTATACTGTTCGGAATTACATACGTATGAATTATGGACGTTCGACTATAATATGACGTCTTTATATTATGTAACGTTTGTATTTGATGGGATAGGTTAGAAATAACTTCAATTCTCTAATCTTGGTGGACTTACCGACAATTTCTCCTGAGAGTACAACAACATAGCCCACGTAGGTGCCTGAACACAGCATTAAAGTCGGTATATCTGTCATGTCATAGCTGTAGTGGTGTAACGTTAGACAAGCTATCGTCAACATCTGAAATCCAATACTCATTATGACCAACCAACGCTTTATTTACTCTTTTCATAGTCTATATGAGCCAGTGTTATGTACAGAATGATTAATTTCCTGTTAAAATATTGTAATAACGACGTTTAGCTTGGGCTCGTCGGTGTGATGTTGTGTTGGTAAACCCGAGAAAGTGTGTCATTCAATAATATTCGCTTTTTATTGCACACGATGATTTCAAACCTTAGGTGTCATTGGTTAGTAATTTATTTGAATATTCTCGAGAAAATTCTTGAAAGTAAGTATATATTTTATTTCAAAATCCTTTTTTTTTTCAAGTTTACTATGAGTTTGTAGCTTATGATATTAATGCCACAGTTTTTAAATACAGTTAAAGGTATAAAACAATGTTTTCTGTTTTAATTAATTTACCTAATACTCACCAATTCAAGTAACTTTATTATGCATGTCGGCACCAACATTTTAATTATTAATGATAAAAAATTGTTGTATAAAATTAGTTTATGTAATGACACTCGAATTTGACATTTTATATATAAAAGTCACTCTTTCTTATACACATTTAATGTATTTAATTTGAACTACAAAAAGTATTTATTTACGATACATTACATCTTCTTCTACCTGGCAATTTCCCAGCTATAGCCAGGGTCTGCCTTACATGTTGTGAATAGTTTTGGCTATTTGTTTTTACGACCGGCCGCCTGCCTGACATCAATCCTCTTTGGGAATCAGCATAAATCAGTGATGTCTAAATACTCTTAGAAAGTACATATGACTCAGAAAAATCACATTGCTACTTGCCCAGGCCAGGATCGAACCCGCGCCCTCGTGCATGAGAGGCAGGCGTTTTAACCACTAGGCCACCACTGACTTCAAATACGATATATTACATATTTCAAGTTAAAGAACATCAGACTTATCTGATGATTTAAATATTAATTTATTAAAAAAAAACTTTATTTTATTTTAATCGAAAATATTCTTCATATTTATCAGCTCCTTCATATCTTACTGCTTCTTTATTTAATTAAAATAATGATATATGATATAAAATGTAGCCTGTTACAATTTAATAAATACATATTAATGACAGTGTTATTCTAAAAGCAGGACAACCTACATTGCTGACCATCAAAAGGTTATCTTAAGGATTTAGGCTAATAACTTCTCGTTTTTGTAAAAGCTTAATTAAAAAAAATATCACGTTTCTGAAAGGCTAAATGAATCGTTTTCAAGAAACCTTAATGAAAAAAATTGCGGCTTGCCTTAGATGCTGTATGAGTCATAAATGAAGTTTTCTCTTATACCGGTTGCAACCATTTTATAATACAAATATATTTGAAACGAAATTATATTATCTTATATTTGTTTGATATTATGTTCACCTACATATAATAAAATTAAGAATATATATTATTACGTAAAATACTGTTTCAATTTCGCTCTTATAATATTTACTGTAATGGAAATCTTTAGTTTATAACTAATTTACACTAAAATATATGGGTCGTCTGCCACATTCCTTCAGTTTTATTTCTTTAACATTTAAGTTAACGATACAAGTAAAGGTTAATATAGTAATTACTACCACATATCGTAATTACTAAAGTGGCATATAATGAAATATTGGAATTAAGTCTTAATAGGAATCATAAAATCATGACATGAAAATAATAAGATTTCAGCAGTTATTAAATCAAACTTACAAAAATACATACCAAAACAAAGAATCATTGTCGAATTACCTGGTAGGTGAATAAACTAAATTAAAATTGTAAATGACATTCAATAAATACGTATAGGCTAGGTGTTTTTTTTAAATCCAAGCCATTCAACCTCATAAAAATCACTTAATATTTATAACTTGTATATATTTTATTTATTTTCAACAAGAACCATCAGCTGTTGTCCTAAATTTATAGATAGAAAAAATATTAAACACCAATGATTCTAATGGTATTCTTCTTTCATCAGAAAGAAACTTATTTTCATCCATACCATTAGTCGTATTTTTATGTTTTATTTTTTTTTTTCGAAAATTTTGACATCAAAAATGAACTAAAACGGTTTTGATCGCTCTACGCTGTGTCAGCGAAAGTCTCATTAAAGGCTGCAAAGGTGGCAAACCAAAACAATATGACGCGTATAGGTAATATGGAAAACAGTTGATCGGTTTTTAATTTAGATTAGAAATTAGGCAATATGATAAGATCTGTACCTAAGGGCGATTGGTAGGATATAAAATAAATCTATAGTTGTAACAGTTAGTAACAATTAGGCACGACAATTTTTTTTTATGTGAATAAATCGTACTTACTTACGTATGGTGTGATATAATTTACGATTACCTTTCCAGTATTATTCACTTATTTTCACCTAATAAAGTGCTATCAATTAAAATGTAATAAAAAATAATTTTGATATCACCGTGGAGACCGCCATATTTTAAGAGCAATTAATAAAGCGACCACAGCATTAAAGAGCTCGTGAATGTCGGCTAAATTGCGACCGTCACTTTATTAATTACAACATTTGTACCCACGATTTCATAAAGCTAGAATAACATTGGTATTAATATGAAGGCGTATTTATGCATACAATTCCTTTATATTAACATCTTCCTGTGAAACGATTAATACATAAATGTGACGAACGCTCGCTAATCAAATCTAAAGACATGATTGGATTTTAAGTTGTGTAAGTACAGCTTCGTCTTTTTGAATCGGAAGAGAAATATTATAAGCTTTTGTTAAATATTTAAAGATTCTCACGAATGATCGCTAGCTGTTTAAAAGAAACAATGCTATTATATCTGCCACCAACAAACTATTTTGCAACTTTATTAATAACTATGCCTAATCAGTGTCAAAATGGTGTTAATTTTATTCATTCAAAAGTATACTCTAACTGAAAGCTTTATAAGGTTTGAGATTCTTTACAAGTTTCCACAATAGATGTAGTTTAAAGTTTTAAGGAAAACAGACTAAGAATGAATGACTCTATTACTAGGTCCAATCTTTTTTTCACTTAAATCTCGAAAAGACGAAGATGAGTAATTACGGTTTTAACTTGGAATTTTCTGCAAAGTCTTATAAAGGCATTTATCCGCCGCTGAAGCTTTTTTCCAATTTGCATTCTAAACAGTTTTTTTAGGTAGATATTAATGTCATTTGTTTCATGTATATTTAAAATTAATAGAAGTAACATTCTCTTAGATATTATAGTAGCTCAGTAGAATAAATTTTATTTTAGTAGTTTTGAAACTGTTTTATAAAATTATTCAGTCCATACTACTATCGCTTCAAATATCTGCACTAATATGATGAATCTTAAAAGTTTCTATTAAAGTTTTTAAGAGCACAACTTCGCGGGCGAAGCAACTATAATTTATTTTAAAGTTGTTTTCTTACTGAATTAATAACTTCATCATAAGGGTAATATAATTTGATATCATATACATATACAGAAAAGTTTTATCTATATTATACTAATTTCATGAGAACATAAAGATATGTAAATATTAAACATATTCTAGGGGAGTCAAGGGGAATTTATATTATTTTACAACATTTTTCAAAGTAGAAACAATAAATTCTAAGGCCATAAATTTTAGGTAACTTGATTGTTTTGTATCGTCCTTTCAATATCCGAGTCTGTGGAGAATTGAATACAATTTTTCCAATTTAATACATTTGCATGTTGCCTCGAGAGCTTTGAACATCTCCTAGAAAAAATCAGCTTGAGAAAATATTAATCTAACTTATTCTTTTCTCCGATATTCTTTGTTCGACTTCATGAGTGCTGTTGTTTTCTCTCTCTTTATAGCAATAAAACCTTAACAAAACCTTTTTAAGAACTACAACTAGAAATCTGCTTAAACTTTCTAGTTTATTTTGTATTTGGTTTCTAGTAATCGTAATTCTTCTGAACGCAAAATAACAACTAGTTCTGTTCGTATCGTTCAGTAATATACCAATATTTTTCATCTTTAGGTATATCTGTTTTTGGCATTTAAAGGTCGGAAGAATAGCTTTAATTGTGATCAATGATAAAATAAAAATAATTTAAAATATATACGAGACTGTAGGTGATAGAATACAGTTTAAAATACGTTATCGTCTTCTGCAACATCTACATTACTGGTCTTAAAAATGGGATTTGTAAATACTAGCATATTTTTTCTATAATTACAGTAACACAAGACAATAGTGCAAGGACACAAAAGAGTATTTATAAAAGATATCCTGTGTGAATACGGAACCCGCCGTGAGAGCGTTGCCATAATCGTGTTTCGTGAAATATTACGATCATGACGGAATAGAGCTCGATATTAATATGGGAGGGATGTGGTGTAAGAGTTGTAAGATAAAGCTAACGAGAACAAAGAGATGCTTTGCTATTACAGACTGTATTACAACTATAATCAAGATGAATCGAAATGTAATCTTTAGTAATATGATTATAATTAAAACCAAAATATAGATTAAGAAAAATTTTAGAAGTAAAGAAAAAATTTTTCGCAATTTACTAGTACTTATAAAAATTCGACTTATCAAAAGAATTGATTATAATCGAACAGTTGACGTTTTTTGAATTATAATTTAAATTCACAATCAGACAGTTAATTACGCAAACTGTGAAGCTATGTGTACAAATAATTGGAATTATCGTCATGGTTAAATTTATATTATTCGATACTCTATAAAATTCAATTCCATTTATACTCAGAGGTTAGACTTTAGACTAATAAGGACAAAATTGTGATTCACTGGAACTATAAATACTTAAGTCACGAATCTTTTAACCGTTAGTTTTGTGGATAAAATTATTACATATCAATTAATTAGGTAATAATTATATCATGTAAAACCGTCAATATCGCTTCCAAGTGAAACTTTGATTCAAAAAGTAGTATAAAGTAAATTTACATAACAAAAAGACAGGGTAGCAGTCTTTGAACTAATTAATTGCTTCATATTTCATCTTAACTTCACTTGTTACTTGTTATTTGCGAACGTCGATCTATATTGTATCAAACTTATTGAGTGCTTGAGAAAGGAAAGTTTCGTTCAATGCGGTACGAGGTGCGCCTCATCGGTCACGGACTTGATCTTCAGCTCTGTGACATTTTATATCAGTTGTTTGCTTCAGGATGTCATGACAATATGTGATTCCGAATGTAACTGCATCTTATCTTTACAGCACATACCTTTATACAAATTATTATAAGGTTGCTTTCAACCTTTGTGTTTTTCTGTTTGCTACTAGTTTGAAAGGTTTGCATATCTAAACGAAGACACTTCCAACGTTAATTATTAATCGATAGTACTAGTATATTATAGTTTTACTCTATATGAAGGTTTTTTATTTCTTTATTTATATTTTGAATGAATTAAATATTCATTAATTAGTACTATTTCTCGTTATCTCTATGATCTTCACGTGAAATTCAAAACTTAGTTAGTACTTTGGTTAGAAATATTTTATTTCACTTCAAATAAATTATGTACCTATCAGAACTTTGACTACTTCTAAGTATGTGGAGTTAGCATTCAATTGTATTAAATCTATAAATTAAATCGTATGGAGCCATATAAAAACTAAAAAAATTGTTTTTTTAAATAAGTTAATATTACTTATTATTATTAATTAAAAATAATAACCTTACATTCAGTATATGAAGTTAAATGAAATTATTATAAAATTTATGTGATAAAAATATACCCAGTTTCTTTATTTCATGTTGTTTTATTCTATTTCCACTTTATTATGTCTCGTGTTTGATAGTTTCCAGAAACTAATTCCAAAGACGAACATCAGTTACTAACGACTTAGATGAAAACTCACCTCAATATCTGTCGTAATAAATCGATACAAGTCTTTAATGACATTCTAACAAAAGAAAAAACTCATCACTTTAAAATCTGTATGGAAACAAGACACATCTTAAGATATTAAATATCTTCAGATTTTGTCTTTTAAATAATTTTAATTGAATTATTTGTACATTCTTCTCCTTCTACCTTGTAATTTTTCGCAGCTTTAGCCAGGGTCTGCCTTACATGTTTTGAATAGTTTTGGTTAATTGTTTTTACGACCGCCTGCCTGACACCAACCCTTGTTAGGAATACATTAATCAGTGATATCTAACTACTCTTAGAAAGTACATATGACTCGGAAAAATCACATTGGTACTTGCCAGGGCCAGGATCAAACCCGCGCCCTCGTGCATGAGAGGCGGGCCTTTTAACCAGTGGGCCACCACTGACTTTATTATTTGTATATTATAGTTCATTAATATTTGTTACATTTGTACCATACCAATTTTATAATATGTGATAATTCTAAACAATGGTAATTATGTTTTGACATTCATGTAAAATCAGATCCCATATCTGTCGTCAATATTATTATAAAATATGATCAAATAATATTAACATTTGCTACAAGAGGCTGATTTATGATGTGACGTTAGTTTCAGCATCACCTCGGGGCAGCTATCTTCCTAAACGGTCTCAGTTAGACAATCGTCTAATATTGACGAACGTCGATTGAAGGGGACGTGCAGCTATGCAAGGGCATTTTGAAAGGTCAAAATAACATATAATTATAATGGCTCTGAATTTATATAAACAGTCATTAAAATCGAGATAATGACGAAAAAATATTGTGAGTGAATCGTCGAAATCACATGAAAAATAAGTTTAAAATTGTCTATTTCACAATAGTTATATGACTTGTGCTGTTAATATTTGAGATATAAATACGAATGAAGCTTTTTAATCTAATGCATACTATTGAATATCAAAAGAATATAAGAAGATTTTTATTTGAAGGATCAAATTAATATATTAATTCATATTATTTATAAAATATAATATTATTCACTTTATTTAAGAGATCACCTGTTTTATTTTATTCTGACTTACGTCTAACTTTCAGAAGATGCTAAGAGGAAAAAGTCAGAAAATACAAAAATCAAAACAATGCATAATTTTTTCTATATATTTTTTAAATATTATCAAATGAAAGAAGTGGAAATGTTTCTATTGAAAGTAGATACCAATAAATAGAAATAGTGTTTAGAATTTTTTACTTGTATTTATTTAATTATTACATCAATATGTAGTACCAATCAAACTTGTACATTAATATAATACATATGCTTTATAGTATAGCAATAATAAAGTTGGTATTTCTATCAAAAAATTATATTATTTCTCATTTATTGTGAAATAAAACATTTTCTTTTTAGATAGTTACTTTATTTCAGTGAGTGTAGTGCCTTCTAAGAAGTATGTCCATTATGGCACATTATTTATTTCGTTAGGCAAGCTTGTCATGTACAAACGTAAAATATATGTTTTGGTATTGTAACTATGAAGAATTGAAGGGAATTTTCATTGTTATTTATGTTCTAACTTATTAAAGTCAATTAGTAATATTTATTATTATAATAATTATTATTTGAGATATAAAATACCGCTAGTAAATCAAATAAATTATGAAATATCTGTAGGTTATATAATGTTTTTAATTAAACTTTTAATTCCTATTAATTTAATAAGAAATATACATATATTATTACTTAAATACCAAAATTTTAAATGCCTTACCTGTTCTCAGATGTCTTGAAAATTTTTGAGTCAAGAATACAACTATATTAATTTAAAAAATACAATATTACGCAATGAGGACAAAATAATCTAGACATTACTTTTACTTCTTTTATTTCGATACATACTTAATCTAAACAATAATCTCATAAACGCAATTAAATATTTGATTTACATATTAAAGTCTCACTAAAATGGAGAAATAATGTTGAGTTAAAAAATTTAACACTGCCCAAAACAACAGAATTAAATGTTGTTTTAAGGGCTACATACACTGAGACAAAAATCGGAACAGCGAAATTATTTTACAAGGAACTTGAAAAGGGTATTTTTTTTTTATTCGAGATATCCATCCATAAATATTGCGTTACATTTACTTCGTTGCAACTTTTTTACTCTCCGATTTAAGCAAATGTATCATTATGTATTAACGTTTTAAAATGGTATTACAAAATGTTAAAAAGTTTTTTTTTCTAGTAACGTCGTGCTCTACCGTAGCTTATCAATGTTTAGTAGTGTGGGAACTACTCTAATGCTTATTATTATACTCTGTATAAAATTTAACAAACCAAGTAAAGTTATATTAAAACCAAAAGTCCGTTGTGGATTTTTTGTAGTTAAAACCAAAAGTCTTTTAAGTCCTTTTCCCAATTGCTTTTCCAAATTAAATCATAATATTTAAGTGGTATAAAATAAATTGGTACAATGTAATAATAATAGAGCTTCTAATACAGCCTTTTTCAGATTCCGCATAGTCTAGATAGTCCTAAGGCGGAGAAGCAGTGATGCACGCACACGGTGATGCAAACTCGAAAGGGCAAATCGGAGCAATATAAAACGAGGCACATCTTCGCTAACTGTATTCTGCAAACAACCTAACCAGAAGTACCAGCTTTACAATAGAAATCACCATGTCTTCGGTGACGGTAAGTTAATACCGAATATATACAAAAAAAGATTACCTTTAGACTTAGCTACAACGATCGTCTTATTTTAAAATTTCTCAAATTTTTCACAAAACTTTTTAACTTCATTAAAAAGTTCTTGGAATTTTTTGCTATTGAAATTCTTTACTTAAAATTTTGTTATATTTTCTACTAATTAGAAAGTTGATTAAAGTTTACGTTACTAGAATATTTAACGGTAAATAAAAAAGCTTATTGCAGCACAAGCGATCCTTTCATCATTATGTTCGTCACCATCACGCAATATCCCGAGTTTAAATTAATTTTTTAAAGTTTTAATCTACCGTCAGCCATTAACGTGCATTACCAGTGAGAGTACCGAGAAACTTTGATATTAATATTAAATTTAAACTTAGGTGGGCTTGCCACTGTTCACGGATTTCAAATTTTATAGCAGTTTGGCATTTCATAAGACAGATAACTTCACGTTGGAGGTATGCTTTGACGGGATCTAAAGTACTTTCGACAATACATTAATATAAGCAGTTTAATATTACATGTATCTCCTCTCATTTTATATGTAAAAAATGTATTTAGGTAACTTACGCAATTTGGAGTAAATGAAAGTTAAAAAATATTAATCAGGAATCTTTTTAAATATTATTTTTTGTTAGGATTACGAATTATATCTTTATCTTAAAGCCTTGTTAACCTATCTTGAGATATTTTTTTCAGATATCGTTGTTGTCAGTCGTGATAGCATTAGCTTCGTGTGGCAGACTCGAACCTCAATACTTGCCACCACGGCCAGGAGGTGGTAATGCTGGTCTAGGTGGTCTTGGTGGAAGTGGTGGTGGCGGCGGCGGTGGTGGTAATAGCGGCCTCGGAGGTGGCAGCGGATTTGGAGGTGGCGGCGGTTTTGGAGGCGGAAGCGGATTTGGAGGTGGCTCAGGGTCCGGAGCTAATATCCCAATCATCAGCTACACGAATGAAAACAACGGTGACGGTACTTATAGGTTCAGGTTGGTATGATGTTTTGAATCATTTGAAAATTATATTACATAAGTAACTTTATTAAAATTCACATTCAAATATCCATAGGTATGTAAAATACCAGACAAACTTTTATTCATATTTTTTAATAGAGATTACGCACTCTCATGACATAAGCTAGATTGATTGGCAGACTAGAAAAAGAGGTATATTAGCTGTACATGCCCCGGAAGAATTCAACATATTACCACACAATTAACGTTGCGTCTAGTATATGTGTAATTATTATGTGAATTTACATAAACACTTGATTTTAATCCAGTGTTCGTTCAAAAAACTAACAAATAAACGATTTAATAGTCGAATATCGGACCATCTTACTGCTTGTTAAGTGATCAATGATCACGCTCTGAGCATTTAAGTGACCCATTTAAAGTTCCCTTGTTATAAATAGCCTTGCAATCACTATTATGTTTTTTAGTATCATTGTTTCGTGTATTGTTTTGCTAGAGAAACATATTTTCATTTCTTATTGAAAGAAAGGCAAAAATTAATATGATTTTCATTGACATTAATACTGAAATGGAAATACTTCAAATTATTTAAATATTTTACTTTAGTATACATGATTGATTACTTTCATATTCTACATTTGTATTGAAAATCGATTTAGTCTTATTTTTTGTGTAAGCAATTATTCAATATTCATTTAATTATATAGAGAGAATCGACCAGCAAAAGTTACGTTTATTTTAAAATTCTTAAAAGGTAATATTCAATGTCAATTTCGTTACATAATGGAATAGGCCTGATGATAACGTACGTACGCTCCAAATGTCACATGCAGATACTTCACGCTTAGATTATTTGGTCATCTACTACTCAGCGTCCAAATTTCATATTTACTTGTTATAAAACATAAACTAATCCGTAATTAAACATAATATTGGGACCTAATTCATTTATTAATAGCAGCGAAGCTACATAGATAACAAATTATTGTCCTTAAATGTTTGCTTAAATTATCGTATAAAGTATAAATAGGATAGTTATCTATATAAAGACAATATTATGACCAAGAATTATTAATAAGTTTTTTTATTCGTAGTTATGAGACTGGAAACGGTATATCAGCCCAAGAAAGTGGTGCCCCACGCGCCCAGGGTCCAGAAGGACCAGCGGTGACTGCTGAAGGAGCATTTTCCTATCGTTCACCCGATGGCCAACAAATATCCCTCACCTACACCGCCGATGAGAACGGCTTCCATCCCGTCGGCTCGCATCTTCCAACCCCACCTCCCATCCCCGAAGCCATCCTCCAATCCATTGAATTCAACAGACGCAATCCATCTTCGTAAGAACGTGAAGTTTATTAATTTCAATAATTGCTTAACTTGTTTTTAATTTTACAATTTGTTTCTGTTATATTATTATGATCTTTGATTTTTGCTGTTTTTTTAGTGAAGGAGCATATAATGGTGGATCTGGATCCGGTAATGGTAGAGGATCTGGTAGTGGCAGCGGATTCGGCGGATCTGGAAGTGGCAGCGGATTTGGAGGATCTGGAGGTGGTAGTGGCAGCGGATTTGGCGGATCTGGAGGTGGAAGTGGATTCGGAGGATCCGGTGGTGGAAGTGGTTTCGGTGGACCGGGTTCAGGTGGCGCAGGAGGTGCTGCAGGCTATCACTATTAAACTCCCAGATGGTACAACTAAGACAGGCTACAAAATCGTATTTAAACGTAGGATAAAAGAGATACTATAAATGTTATACCGATCTCGTGAAGTTCAAGTGTTGCGTAATCAATGCATTCTTCATTCATTTGTAATCTTTTTTCCTTATTACTCTCAAATTCAAAATTTTTCAATATGTATTTTTTATAAGTTACTTATCGCGTTTTTTACGTAATTGTGGACGAGTAATACGATTTGTTGCTAAGTATCTTAGTAAAACGAATATTTGATTTAAAAAGAATACGAGGCTTTGTCAGATTTTCTTGCTACTCTTTGCTTTAGTTAGTTAATGGCTTAAACGTGTAAGTTTCTTTCGTTTCATCAAGTATAATGTTTACGTAAGATTAGGTATAAAGAGGTGAATGACCTCACGAATTTACTAAGGGACTGTGATACCACGGAAAAAGCGAGCACTCGTCTATTTATTTTAAGGCTTACAATGTATTTTAAACTCTATATGTACATATGCATGTTAATAAATGTGAATTTGTGATTAAAATTACATTTTAATCTTTTCCACTCAAATCTTTGACTATTATTTGAAAAACGAACCTTTTATACTATTATTTTTAAATTATTTATGTCTTTTGAATTTCAACACTATAAAGAGGTTTCCCTCTCTAACATGTAAGAGTAAAATATATTCATAAAAAGCAGCTTTTAGTGCGCTTCCAAGGCTCATGCTCGTATTGTTCATAAAATTAATGTACTACACAATTTTAGTATTTCCGTATTTTCGTAGGCCGTTTATAGCGTGACCTTATTACACGCTTTATGAGTAATTGACACTATATTCAAGTATTTTTAGATACTTGACAACAAAAATCTAGGGATCAGAATAATTAATTGGTTTCAGCAATTGAGATTAATTAATCAATTTTAAAAATATGGATATAGTATAATACTTCTAATAAAACAAATAATGTATAAATAGATTTCTCTATACCTCTGTGTCTATCGCTCGTAGATACAAGATTATAAAAGAATATAAGTATAGAAAAGTTTTGAACTTATAACATAATTAATGATATACGACGATTGTGATACCTAATGTTTGCTGTTAATTACAAAATGAAGAAACTTATCTTATTACTGGGCGAATAATAGAAAAAATATATATAAACTCAATAATTTGATTTTTAATAAATCGTCACTACATTGTAATCTTAGTGTATATTTGACAGAACAGTCATTCAAAGACTCCAATCGATTTTGACATTAACAGATGAGCTTATTAACTTTATATAAAACTCATAAATTTGACTAAACCATTATATATACACATAATATTGCTAATTTAAATGTGAATCAAATTATTATTCTTGTATTAAGCTCGAAATATTTTAAACCACCTTCACTTACTCTATTGACATTCAACTAAATATCGATAACATTTATAAAGTTTATGTATTCATAAATAAATAAAAGGAATTGAACGAATAAATGTGTCTTTACTAATGAAATGGAAGATAAACTAATAATAAATTCTTCTTCTATTTCCTGACAATTTCCCAGCTTTAGCCAGGGTCTGCCTTACAATTGCAAATAGTTTTGGCTAATTGGTTTTTCGTCAACCTGCCTGACATCAACCCTTTTTGGGAATGCAATATCAACACGCTTGTTCAAGACGGATATGTGATTTCAAACTTATAATTGTGAAGTTATAAGTCCAGGTTTCCTCACGATGTTTTCCTTCACCGTCTGTCATTGATATCTAAATACTCTCAGAAAGTACACATGACTCGGAAAAAACACATTGTCACTTGCCAAGATCGAAACCGCGCCCTCATGCATGAGAGGCCACCACTGACTCTAAAATAATGTAAAAATAATAATAATTTAATTTATTTAAGAATATTAAATCTATAACATATAAATATCAATATATAAATTTTAATTAATACTTTTAAGTAAATCATACCTATTTATTTTCTCATTTGATCGAACATTAATTTCAATTAAATCACCAAAGGTCATATTGAACTGTTTTATCTCCATCTCTTGTTCTGTCATTCGATATTGAAGGCGCCTACAATGGTTTGGTTCGTTTCTATATAAAGGTATTAAATCAGATTCAATTGTAGGACGTATCCTATTTTGTTGGAATTTTTGAATAGTTTTGAAAAAAAAATCTTTTTAAATATCATTTTAATTAAACTACATATTAAGTCTCTGTAAAATGGTTTTGAACAGACAACATTATAAACATGTTTGATTAAAAACATAACTTATGTATATTTAAATGAACGTAAAGAATATAAACTGGTACATTAACATTTTTTATATTCAATAACAAAATTAACAAATTTTCATTAAATCAGTTCTGAATTTTTAATAAATTAAAGAGTATTTATATCAAGTTAGGAAGATTCTTCAAAAATGCTCTTTTTGGTTTTAATGAACATTCTAGAGTACTTTTTAGTATATTCAGTGATAAAGAATATATCATTTGCAATTGAAATCTTTTAAACAAGAAATTAGTCACTTCATTAACACTGATTTATAATTCAATGTGTATTAACATTGTTTTGTGTATAGTGTTTTGGAAATATTCAATATTTTGTTCATCATTTCATTCAATAGTAGAGACGAAACCTCTTAGCATTTAATAAATCCACTTTGTGGGTGCCAGGGTCCATCGAGCTGCAGGGAGAGGAGCTTCAACAGAGTCTGGGACTTGCGACCTAGGTGTAGATTTAAGGGGACCCCATCTAACGCACGTTAAACGCTCACCTCCACCGTCCAAGTTCCTCACTTTACCTAACCAAATTTGAAAAGAACTTACTAGGACTACTTTCGAAGTACGTTCATAGAATGAATTGATATTAGTTCTGAACAGGCTCAAGTCTTTTAGTGGGTTGCAGAGAGATTTGGTAGTTATACGTATCGCTCTGACTTCCAACGCGTACAAATCCACGACGAACCTATTTCGTGTGAGTTCATAATATTTGTTGACCTTGATGGTATGGTCTTTGGGGATGTTGGTTTCCTAAGGTACCGTAAGCTCTATCATCACAACGCGCTTTAAATTTCTCGGATACATAGGTAAATATGTATGGTCCAGAGGCCGATATACAAATATCCTCTAGGATTTTATGTTGTTTCTTATACGTAACCATTATGATAGTCCAATCCAAAGCCGCTTTAAGTATAGAGTAAGGATGGACGTTTGATTTTATAATCCTAGCGCCTTTTCTCACAAATCCTATTGGTCTCTCGTTTGTAGTTATTTCCTTGCCGAATACAAAGACTTCAATATATCCATATGAATGATTCTACTTTGTTACTTTGTACTCCCATCATAAACTGCTTATGGAATACTTATTAGATAAATTCGTAATCGATCATTCAATTTAATGTTTATTACTGAGTGCCGAGTAATTGAATATCTTGTATTACAAGAATCTTAAGGAACACATCCGTAGCAACAATATGAAAAATAGGTCATTAATAAATTACTCTCTTTATAAATAAATATTATTGAAATGTATTTAACTTCCAATAGACCGTTCTTAGTACATATGCACTATGTTTTCATAGATAATGATTATTGAAATACATATATGTACCGTTTCTTCACGACTAGTTGTGAACGTTTTATAAATTAGAAAATATTGTAATACATTCAGTACTACCATTAAATACATACACAAATATACTTGTCCTAAATATGTTTGGTTAATATAAGTATTCTCATCAGCTCTATCTGTAAATTGTACTTTAATTTTGTCTTAGATTTAATTGGCTTTTAATGTTAACAGACGTTAAAATCTATTGATTCTTTAGTTGGAGAAATTATGTATTTATTAAATAAAAGATGAAATTATTACGATAGCTTTATTCACAAGCTACTGAAAGGCAAAAATATGTCACAGATAAAAATAGTAGTCACGTTATCACAGTCCATCAAATGAGTTTCAACTAATCCTTAGTAGTAGCTACGGCGTCCGTTGTAAGAACCTTCATTCCTATAAACATAAAATATTAGAAAGTTTCTATCCAATTTTATAGTTTATTGATTACAATTTGTCAGAATGTAATACTTGTAAAGTAAAACAACATTATTATAGGATATCATTTGCAATTTCAATACAAAGTGATAGGAACTTATTTTGTGAGAAAATCATAGTTTAAATTTCGTGTAACAATATCATGGCAACTTTGTTTCACTACTTGTTTAAGTCCAGGAGCTTAAATGATTTCGTAATCCAAAATGCACCATTACTCGTACACAGAACAGTTTCGGTTATGCAAATCCTATTAGTTACATCATAACAAAGATGTTCTTAGAGAAAGTCCAGTTATTTCAAGTTTGTTTGTATCATTTTATAAACGAGGATAAATATCTCACAAACATAATTTCCCATACTCGAAACAGAGCTACATGCTTCCGCAGTTGTTATGGTAATTTCCTCACGAATAGACTATCTGACTAATAATGAAAATAAATTCTATAACTTTTTAAATATACTGCTAACATATTTTGATCTGAATTTTAAATTTAAAAAAAATGCGTAGCTATAGCATTGCACCAAAACTTTAATTTAAACCATGAAAATGACAAAAAATGACCTATTATTTGTAAGTGAATTACAAATATTTTCGTTTTAATAAATGGATACTATTTCCAGAAGTGAAATAAAAATATCTATTATTATATACAGGGTGACTGGTGAATTACTATCGATACTTGAGGAGGTGATATTTGACGATCATATATGACAAAATAAAAATTAATATAACATAAATATTAATAAACTTCTAAGTAAAGTTAACCAAAAGTTATGTAATTAATTACGCATCGTGTGAGCACCCTACAGATTAGGTATACACACACACACACACGCGTGCGGTGGCTTGGTGTTGTATCAGCACGCCGCCGCACGCGTCCACACTTGGAACACTTGGAACGTGTCCACACTTTATTTATTCATACGGAAATTTGGTCAAAAATTAAGTACCTATTTTTTTTACATAATTCGAATGAGAATCATGTACCTAGTATTCTCCTTAAATATTGATAGTAATTCACCAGTCACCCTGTATATACCATATACACTTACGATGGGTTTTGTCTGTTGTACTCGAGAGAGCGCAAGATAGCTTCTGGTATAGGGGGTGGCGTTGGAAGATGGGCGCCCGATGGATGGAAGCCATTTTCGTCAGCTGTGTATGTTAGAGAGATCTGCTGGCCATCGGGAGCCCGATATGAAAAGGCCCCCTCGGCTGTCACTGCAGGGCCCTCGGGACCTGGGGCTCTAGGGGCACCACTCTCACGCGCGGAGATTCCATTCGGAGTATCATAGCTGAAACGTTTTAATTACCTAATATGAGTATTTAGGCTCTAAGCTTATAATATATATTGTATATCATATTAATCTTAAAAATAATAAAATGTGACCTCAATTAAATGCTTCCAAAATTATACTTTCGATAGTTATACAATTTTTGTATTTATCAGACTGCGTTCAATCATAAAAGGTTAATGGATTTCACATTGAACAATGAGAATGGAGTGGCAAAAATTTCAACATAATAATAGCATATTCAGTCTATACTATTGGTTCATTCACAGTACAAAGGTAAACTATCTCAATATTTGTATTCACACCAAAGCATTACCTAAAGCGATAAGACCCGTCCCCGTTGTTGACATTTTCAAAACGGAAAGGCGCGGCTCCGGCGCCGCCTGCGTTATATCCCAAGAGATGGTCAAGTGTAGCGCAGTTTACTGCAGCCAGAAGAGAAATGAACACTACCTGAAATTAGTAGAAGGAACAAAATTAATAACACTAAGAATCCTGAGTGTCCTGAGAAAATAAGTCATATTTTTTAGGTCCATATTCATTTATATCTCGTTAAAAATTATCAAAATCAAGGCATAAGGGGTAAGAGCAATGATAAGTAAAGCAAAAAAAGTCAATTGGCGAGGATTAAAATATAAACCAATACCAAACCACACATGATTATACAACCACTTGCATTACTGGTTGGGAAGTCAGATTGTGATCGTTAGGATAATAGCATAATCAGTGTAATGTCTTCGTAACTTCATGACTACTATATCTTTAGGTAGCAGAGGTCAAAGAACAATTACTCTTGCACGGCAGAATATACGAAAAGAGGAATACCTACTTTGGGATTTATAATAAAATAACTAAAGTACTTTAAATACATTTCAAAATCATAAAAGATAAAGGGTTTAAAAATTGTTAATGAGTTTATTTTGTATGAAATTTCTTATTATATTTTTTTTGATTTCCATACGTAAAATGTAGGCATTGGAAAGAATGAAATATTTTATAGTCTTACCAGTTTCATCATAATGGTTTAGTTGTATTTTCGGTTGTATGGTGCTATGAACTCCAGCGTTAGAATACTGTGTACAGGGATGTTCACGTTTTATATCCGTTGTATTTGCCCTTTTGGCAGGTTGCCTCACCTTGCGTGCATTGTTGAATCGTTTAGGCACAGTGTAGTCCAAGTTAGGGTCGGAAGAACAAAGAATTGGTTCAGTTAACAATCTGTATAAATTCTTCGTAGTAAATAATCATATCCAACAAGACTATCGTTCAAGTTTAAGTTTAACTTCAACTCTTTTTTTAAATTAATTAAGCATCTGTAAATTTGTTAATAAGTCTTAATTAGTCGTGATTCCATCGACCACAGTCTTCATTTTAAATATCTCACTGTCGAATTAAGTTCATGCCATTACATGCATATTATAAATAATTTAATCCATAAAATTTTTAATTATTACGTAATAGGAAATTCGTCGATATAAAAAAATATACATAATAACTAAAATAAGGTTGGATAGCATGTTATATGTTTTAAATCTTTATTGTAAGGTTAATTAAACGCCTTAGCCTGTAAATTAATACCATTTTCACAGGGTGAATAAGATGCCCCGCCGCGTCAATCGCCACGCCCCAGTACAAGGTAATACGATGTAAAGCACCAACAAGAATGCTGTCAAAACTATTACTGCAGATCCGTGTTTCAATATCAATGTTTATCTTGTATTATAGTAATTAAGATGCCGCAGTATATTTTGTCGTTCTATATAAATTACATGATTTTTTGAAACAAAATAGAAAAAGATAACTTTATAATTTTCTTAAATTGAAAATTAAATGTTCATGTGCATCTATGAATGACAAAAGAAGCCTTTACGAGAAAAAGAAACCCAAAAATATTAACATAATTCTAAAAATAAAAACCCATTTTTAGATACCTATGTATCAATGTACTTGTGTAAAACTATGTATAAGTAAAAAGGTACTTGATGTTATTTATTTTGAGAATTAAAATAAGTAGATCTTCCAAAAACGTTATTGATGCTATATCGTATCAATTTTATAACGACGTTATAAAATAGTAAAACTTAAAGGAATATTTTTTCTTCATCTAGATACAACCAATCAAGCTTATTTTAAAAACATATCTCTTTCAACATAATTTGGACTCTTTTTATTTTGGTTATACTGAAAAATTGGCTTGTCATCCAAAGACAACTTGTATTGAACTTTTCAGGTCAACCAAGTAAAGACATCGGCTTGAAAGTTAAGTTTTAAAACTACACCTAAACAAATTATGCACATACACAAAAGAAAATGAAATAATAGCTTGAAAATACAGGTGCTTCTGTCATGATAGCATTAAGTATTCAAATAAAAAATCCCATTATAATAATTAAATAGATCCAACAACGGGTTAGGTAAGCAGAAGTTTTTTCGTCTATACTGATAAATAAAATTTAAGTATCTGTTTACAATTTAAAATTAGCAGTGTTTCATCACGGGAACATGAAAAATTTTATATTAAATTTTTGCTTTTTATCTCTTTGTAGCTGGAAATCTTTAGAAGGTACACACGCAGCTTGATAATGCCATAAGGTTTAAGTAAGTAAGCCTTCTTTTAAAACCTCTTCAAAGAGCCAAAACCTCTTACTTCCATTAAATATTTATTACGGAATTACTTCTCCAAATAAAAAACTATTTATAATTTTTTGTTATCGATATATCACTGCCCTAAGATAACTCAATTATCCCCAAGTCACGATCTTATAAAGAGGTCCCTGAGAAAAAGAATGCCACCCCATAACGCATATCTCAAAAGCAAATAAATAAAATTGGAGTGTCTGTTTGTAATATTATAAAAAAGTTTTTACTAAGTGCTGATGAATATAAACGGAACATTTACCATAATAATACTTTGTCAATTTTTGTCTATCTGTATGTTCCTTCCGGCTAATCATCTAAAATGCTGGACTAATTTTGATGGGACTTTTATTGGCAGGTAGCTAATGTAATAAGGAGTAATTAGGCTACTCTTCATCCCGAACCCAATCCTGAATCTCGACCCCAAAATTAATCGTTATCAGGCGCGAATGCAGGGGAGGTGTATACAACGCTTATAAGATTTTTTCACCGTTTTTTGATTTTTTTTTACGCAGACGGAATCACAGATGACAGATGGATTGTCAACAGATACAAATAAATTTCCCCATTACTTTCATGATCTTTTAAAATATATTTTTTATTCAAGTAATTTTTGATCTTGTAAAAATTTTCAATATCATTCTTCAAATTCGTTAATAATGGCACAATAACAAATTTATTTACATCATGTATCGTTAGTTCAAACAATAGACTGTTTATAAATTTCCTATAGTACGTAACAAACACGTGCGGAACTAATGACATTATCGGGTCACAGTAAATCATTATAAATCATTGCTGTATGATAAACTAATGACAAACTCGTTGTATGAATGACATTGGCGACATTTTGCTAATTGAACACCGTTCCAATGCAATTTTCCACATTTCAATGCAATTCATTTACATTTTTATTACATTCCAATATTAACTTTTAATAAAGATACCTGACACAATTTGATTAATTAAATCTTTTTATTAAAAGCACTTAGAGAAGAACTTTAATTTATCTAAAGAATTTTAATTAAGTAATTAGTTAATCTCTATTTCCATAGTATTATAGACGTAAATCAAGCCAAATCCAATTCCTAACAGAAAAACAGTTGATTAAAAAAATATTGTAATACGATATTAAAAAGCCAAACTTGTTGTTTTTCTACATGTAATCGAAAATATATAAAAAAAATACCATATGGACGATATTAGGAAACAAATGAACTTTGACGTGATTCTTAGTTATTTTAGATATTTTTTTTATTTGAGAAAATATTTAAAATCTATAAAATGTACTTGTGTTTTTCTGAGATGTGATTTGTAATACAATAAATCAAAGTTTTCATTGAGACGATAAATTAATACAAAAAAGCAAACCAAAGTGTAAGAAATTGCGTCAAAGATATTAAAACCTGCTTACAAATCTTGATAGAAAATAACTAGTATCGGTAGTGTTTAAATAAACGCTTCATTGAATTAAAATACATATATTAGAGCGTTCTAAAATGTATATTATATTCAAAAGGACAGAACGGCATTTCATGGGAACTGACATTTTAGTAGTTATATACCATAAAGACTTCAATGAGCGACCACCAACGGGCAGATGTGATTTTATTATGACTTTGTTTTACGAGTACAATGTTGACCTACTTTTAATAACATTATGTTACTTGCCAAGTGTTCAACGGTCACTTGAGTTCCCTAAACGGAATTCTTTGAAATAGGAATTAAATATTTCGCTGTATTTAGTTCAAAATAACTAGTAGAAGTATCTTTTTTTGCTTTTATATAGATTTAGGGATAAGAATAAAACAATTTTACTATATAATAACTATCAACAACTGTATAATTCGATACATTTACTCATGAATACTTTGTTGTCTCTAAATTCTAACATGCCTATATGTAATCTGTTGGCACGGAGAACACATAAACGTTATTAGGCATTCAACTCTCGACTCCTCAAGTATTCGCGGTCTGCTGGAGGTAAACGGTCTGCAGATGTTTTTTTGAACCTTTGTACTAAATTATTGATAAAACGTACATGTAAACATCTCGTGATTCATTCATACATATATCTTTTTAGTACACACTATATATTTAATTACGATTTACTAATATTAATAATATGTGTGGATATTTCATAAACTTATTCCTATGATAAAGAGACGACTCTTTGTATTGTACTGAAAATTGTCAAAATTTTGCTAAGCAACTCTATTATCTTTCCTGAAGTCATGAATCAAACACAATAGAATAACTAGCCGTGTCTGTACTAAGCTATGTTCAACAAGGTGACAAAGTGTACTATTATCTCAAATCGTTTCGTGAAAACAGTTCATTGACTTCTACTCCATAGAGAAGTTTCAATTTAGAGAACCAACAACGTAGTGTTTTTTTTTCACTGAGACTGATTAAAAAATGCCGGTAAATTTTTCCAACGTCTTTGCTTTACTTATGTTGATTAAGAGAAAGCTTAAAATCTGGGCTGACTTGTCTTAGAATCAATAAAGAGGTGCCACATTGCTCTACAATCGAGATATCGGTAAGAAACAGAGAGATGTAATTCACAATTGGTTGGCGTTTTTGGAACTAACTAAATTATAGCAATAAACTACTTTTGACTGTTTCAAAATTAATGGAAAGAACCCATACTGTAAATGCTATTTATAAAATATATACAAGTATCAGAATTTAATGTTATTGCTATTAAATTAAATAGGCGCTTAGGCAATATTTTTCAATAAATTCCATTTACTGCAACAACGTTTTAAAAATATCGTCTCTATTTTCCAAAACGATTTGGTTTGGAATAGGATCCAATACACATTTTAATATAAGAAAAAAGTAAATACAAAATATTTAATCTAATTTATTTTATTAAATTTACATGTAAAAAATATATACTTATGACTTTAACAGTATCCATCACCTTTAAAACATTTTAATAAATATCTGTTAGAAGCTTGGGCAGTATGCCAAAAATATGTCATAATATTAAACGACTAGTGTTGTATCTTGATCTTGTATACACAAAAATATTTATATTTCTATATAAACTTCTTTATATGAGTCTTTAGAACAAATATAAGATTTCCCTGGGGTAGTACAATTTACAGTAGATAAATATCTACAAACAGATCTTACCTTTCCTTTATCTTTTCCGCACAAAAACAGTATCACATTAAAGTTTAAACACTGCAAACAGATTCTGGTTTGCTAGAAATTAGGAAGATTATGTCAGTCTACAAACATGAATATACTTATAGCCTTATGAACAGAGTTTTGGCTCGATCTCATAATTATTAATTAAAAAAACAAGTCGTATATAAAGTCATCTAAACAATATCATTTCTACAATTCGCCAAGACTCCATACTAAGAACAAAATCACGATATTTTATAAAGACAGATATAATTCTGAAAAGACCTTTCGATTATCAAATGCAAATCTATTGTAGATACCTCTCTATACCCCTCGGATGATTTTCTGCTGGGCCCCCTTCAACGACGTCCTAAGATATAAGATCTTAGTTGCACCCTTGGGACGAGCGTACCCTCGGACTCTGCTGGCCCTAATTGCA